CAACGCCTCTGTCACCTGCCAGCGCTCCCGCAGAGCAGGTCTGTGGCTGAGCAACAGCAAACGGTGCTGGGGAGCTGCCACCGGGGAGCTGCCACCGGGGATGCGTCAGCCTTCCCCTGCACCTGCACCGACTGCACCCCAGGGGGAGGACGTGACACCCCAGCCAGCTCCAGCACCAGGAAAAGCCTCACGGCTCTGCCCCAGCTGCGCCGAGAGCCCTGGGGAAGGGAGCAAGGCTGGGTGGGGGCAGATCAGACAGCGAGGGGCAGTGATTCACATTAACCAGAATTTTGGTCTGCAGCCACAGGTGTCTTACAGCAGCAATCGCAGCACAACCATCCCCCTCCATCACCGCGGAGTGCCAAAATACCCCAACACTTCAGCTCCCCGTTGCAGAGGACACAGGTATGAACCAGCACGGGAGATGTGAAATCCTGCGGAGTTCAGGACTTGTCCCTGCTCAGGCTGGGAAAAGACACATACAAGAACAAGCACGAGGCAGAACGAACACGAGGCACAAGCTCAGCCTTCCCAACAGCCGAATCCAGGGAGCAAACCTCCCTACAAGCGGTGCAGAAACTGCATCCCAGCCCTGAGCCCCTGAGAAAAGGACAAAAAATGGTGCCAAACCAGGGACTCAGCCTCCAAGGTCACTGTAGGCGCTTCCTCATGGATGCTTCGCTGCTGTAAAACCTCAGCCTTCATTCTTGAAGCCTATAAAAACTAAGGAGGCGAGGCAAATGGTAAGCGCTACGGCTCCCCGGGGAGCCTGTGCAGTGAGCATTATCACCTCCTGCTCGGAGTGTAAAACCCAGCTCTCCTCCTCATTAGTCTCTTGCTCTTAAAATAACGATTGTAAAACGAGCACAGCTGGCCTCAAAGCCAGACGGAGCGCGGAGGGGACGCTGCAATCGGCATTTCTTGCTCTGAATAGGTGCTTGTGGAGAGAAGGTCAAAACGAGCAGCAGAAGGTGGGCATCAGCCCTTTTCGGGGGGTGCTGGCTTGCGCCACGGTTTCAAGATGCATGGGGAAAATATGCTGAAAGAGATGCTGCAGGGCACTTAAAACGGGGCCACTGACCTGGTTGTTTTAATTATCATGGACATGTTGGATTCAGTGCCCGTCACTTCTGAGGGATGACGTTTATACATCCTGCTCCTTCCTTTGGTATTTCAAACCAAACAGCTTCTCGGTGCCTCTTCCTTAAAGCCCCACTGCCCAAAGGCTTCCGCGCACCAGGCAGCAGAGCTCTAAGACCCCATTTATGAATTGGGGCCCAAGACACTTCCCCTGGGGAGGCAGGAGAGCAGAACGGCACCGGGGGCTCGTCAGCACCTCAGAACCCACGCTGCTGGCTGCTGATTGTGCTGATTCACTTCTGTGAGAATCAGCTCTGAGATAATAAGCAAAATGTATTTGTTTCTTAAACTCATGAATATTCAGTGAGCCATGCTGTTTTCAAAGAGAATTCTATTCCAGAAAGAGCTGAGCAGGAGCGATGACTTTCTAGCAAAACCCTTTCATGCTTATTTAAAAATTCTGCAAATTCATGCGGTGACTGCTCAATCAAGAGCTGATCAGCTGTTCCTTCAGAATTTGTCACTGGATAGAGCCTTTTGCAATTATTTCAACATGATTGCCTATATTAGAAGGGATGATTCTTTCTCAGCTCTCCTAAGAGAGAGCTTACTCCCAAGGGCAGGTTACAGGTATTGGTTTGAATTTAGCAGACCAGGCTGGAATATGACACTGTGTGGCCAGGGTCAGCTGCAGGCTGATGAAAACAAGGAAAAGAATTTCATGAACATAAGCCAGGAGGAATGACCTGTCTCAGGCTGGGCTGTGTTAGAGGACGTGATCGAGGACAGAGGACGATGCACTGCAAGGACAGACCAGGCCTGAGAGTAAGTGAAAATACAGGATCACACAGATCTCGGCTCTGGCAAGTCCCTGCACAGCTCCCCATCCCTTTTGCTTACAAACTTGCACAGATCTATGGGGAGCAGGTTGTTGTCAAAACAGAAAAATATATCTATTTATTGGTATGATTTTATGTATACATTTTAATACACATATCTCCCTGTTCCTACCCCATTGCCACCTGACCAAACTTCCTTGTTTCTTCCTGCTTTCGTCCGCTGGCAGCAGGGATCCCTCAACGACACGCCGCAGAGCGGGACAGGGTAGTACGGCGGAGCGGAACTCCCCTCAAGGTCTGAGAGCTGGTAGAGGTCACCTGAAAGAAACAGCACAGCAGTCCTCAGGAACAGAAAGGCTGAGGAGGATCCTGTCTCATTTTAGGCTCTCGTGGCAGCAGCTGCTCTAGAGGACAGCACTGTGCAAGAAAAAGAGCCTGAGGAAACAAGTGTTGCAGACAGGTCACCTTCACCAGCACGTAGTCGCCTGGCCGGGCTCTGACCGGCGCCTCGCAGCCCGCAGCATCCTCCATCTCAGCATCCGGGAAGATCACCTTGATGTTGCCGTCATTCCTCCCACACAGCTCTGAGGCCGAGCGCTTGCTGGGCTGAAAGGAGGACAGGGAACATTACCTGCACGGCAACAGCTCTGATTCACTGCTGGGCTTTAGTGCCTCAGGAATTAATTAAGCACTATCACCAGCATTAAAATCCGTGTTCCACATTGTTAGCCACGCCAGGTAACAAAGTCCCACAGCCAGAGCTGCTGTGCTGACCCCCACCCCAAAGGTGATGTTTCACAGCCTGCACTAACCCAGTGCTCGGCCAGAGCCATGTCTCTAACCCGCCCCATCAGCGCAGTGCTCTGGATGAAACAGGCTGTCGGCTTAAGTGTGAAGATAGTCTGGGAGTCACAGGATTGTGCGGGGAAAGTGAGAAGGGAAGGCAGAGGTGACGATTGCTGTGTACAGCCCAAGAGCCTCCTGGCCAGCAAGAGGGGTGACAACCCTGCTCCGGGCACACTCACCCCCTCCACCAGCACCAGCTGAGACCGACCCACCATCGCCTCGTTTGCCCTTGCAGCCTCCTCTCGAAAGACAGCAATGAGCTCCTCCAGCCGCCTCTTCTTCACATCTGCAGGCACATCGTCTTGCAGGCGGTGATAGGCACGGGTTTTCTGCTCCTGGCCAGCAAGAGGGGTGACAACCCTGCTCCGGGCACACTCACCCCCTCCACCAGCACCAGCTGAGACCGACCCACCATCGCCTCGTTTGCCCTTGCAGCCTCCTCTCGAAAGACAGCAATGAGCTCCTCCAGCCGCCTCTTCTTCACATCTGCAGGCACATCGTCTTGCAGGCGGTGATAGGCACGGGTTTTCTGCAAACAGACAAAGCAAGTGCGGCCCCTCAATAACCAGATGGTCCGAGATCAGAACCTTGTCTGACTCCTGCCAGCTTGGCTGCTCTTCAGCAACAGCTTCCCATGCGTTAGCAGTTTGTGTTTACAACCTCAAGGAACATTTTCAGCACCAGCAACACCCCTGAGCTCCTCACGTTCTTTCTGCAGCACCTTTTTGGAAGGTTTGCTGCAGGGCGCTCAGTATGGCTGGCTGTGTGAAGCAGAAGTTCTGCATCTCCTCTGCGAGATGTGTCTGTTGCGGACAGATAAAGGATTCTACTACTTCTAGGTATTATTTTCAATAGCTTCTTTTTAAATGTTTTAGTCTAGAAACGGCACTCAGGAGTTAGGTGAGATGCCCAGAGGTAAGAGTCTTCTCCATCAAGTCCTGCCCTCACCTGTCTCATGCTGTAGGCAAAGAGGAAGCCTACGTTGTAGCGGACTTCCCGCAGCAAGGACACAGTCTGCTGGTGATCTTCTTCTGTCTCTCCACAGAAACCAGCAATGAAATCACTGCTTAAGCTCACTCCTGTGACAGAGACACAGCTTTACACTTCCCTCAGGGAAAAGAGGAACACTTCACTCAAGAAACGACAGTATGGCAGAGCTGAGCTCAGACAAAGCCGAAGGGAACGCCTACCCGGAATGGAGTCGCGCACATGGTGCACAAGCTCTAAATACACTTCTCGTGTGTATCTGCAATGAACAACACGCGGATTTGCTCATCAGAAAAGCACGACACCGCTGAGGAGAAACCAGCACCCTAAACCAGAGGGCAGGGCGCAGGACTCCCCGTGGCGATCGCTCACCCTCGTCGCATGGCCTCCAGGACTCGTGTGCTCCCGCTCTGGGCCGGGAGGTGAAGCTGTTTGCAGATGTTGTGTCTCTCCTGGATAAGCTGCAGGACCTGCGATGGGCAATCAGGAGACAGCGTCACAGACATCAGGATGCCAAGAGGAAGAGTCTTCCCTGGGTAAAACCCAGCCAACTGCAGACCCGCCAGCTTTAGCACAAACACTCCCCTCCCAGGAGCCGCTGCTCCCATTCTGCGGTTCTGGTTCCCCTTTGGGAAGGAAGCACAGCCCACACCCAGCAGTTCATAGCTGCCTGCAAGCAGGGGTCCAGGTGTTCATTTTACACTTGCCTCATCAGGAAAATCCTTGGGGTGTGGAGAGGTGAAACGGATCCTCATTTCTGGATCAATTCTAGAAACCTGGTCTAGAAGATGTGCAAAGCGCAAGCCTCCTGCTTTGGATTTGTAGACAGTGCTAAAGCCGCGGCTGAGGGCTGGGGCAGCAGCTGACTGAAACTGCACCTCAGACATGTCCCGAAAGCTGTTGACGTTCTGACCCAAAAGGGTCACTTCTTTCACTCCCTACAAAGACAAACAGAGAAGAAAAAGCTCTTAGATGGCTACGCTGCAAGGGCAGCCATGGTTTTACTCTTGCTCCAAGGAGGAGTCTCCGAGGGAAGCCCTCCCTGCCCCGTCTGTCTCAAGAGCGTTACAGGGGGAATCAAAACGCCGCTGGTGGAACCCTGTGGTAACCTCATCTCCACAGACAATGGCGGTGCCATTGGTCAAAGGTGTCACTGAAAACGTGTTCCCTGAGAACCGTCCATCCTCCCAGGGTTTGGGACAGGCGGGAAGGTGTCTCTGCCTCACCTGATCCGAGAGCATCTGCACTTCCTGCAGGATGGACGCGATGGGGCGGCTCCTTTCGCGGCCACGGGTGAAGGGCACGATGCAATAGCTGCACATGTTGTCACAGCCCCGCATGATAGATCTGCCGAGAGGTGAAGTTCAGGTGACGCTACCATCACTCTGGAAGCACGTTGCATCCTGCCCTGCTGTGACCTGGCCCAGCCCCGCTGCCTTCAGCCCCCTCCCCTGGCCCGCAGCACCAGCTCCGAACGCAGCTCTGCAGCTCCAGCCAGAGCTGGCTTCTGCCTGCCCCTCGCTAACACTCCTGATTTTCCATGCACCTTCCCAGGAAACTTGGGAAGCAGATAATGAGGCGCAGACTTGCACTGCAACCTGGCAGTGACGAAAGATCCTTCTGTGTCCTGCTCCTACAGAGGAGGACACCGTCCTTCTGTACTCCGTGGCCACACTGAGCAGAGTCTGACTTCATGTTTGGGAATCTTGTTATCAAACCTAACCAAATGGAAACAAAGACAACAGAAGCTCCAGTGTATGGAGGATTAGAAGAATTAAATAGGAGAACCTGGGGCAGGACAGAGCAGAAGGCAGGGGATGAGAGAGGCACAGACTTCAGAAAGGCACAGACATCAGTGGTCCAGAAATCACTCAGCTTAGACAATCCACGTTCCCAAAGGAGAGGAAGAGAAGCCCGCAGACAGCCAGAGCACAGGGCGGTCCCCCAGGGCTCAGTCAGACAGTGAAGCAGCAGCAAACACTCCGTCTGGCAGACTCACGCCTCTGGGCTGCTGGGAGCGAGTGCAACCAGGCATCGCACCTCCTGGGTAGCTGCTGTCACTGACACGTCTGCTCTGCACAGCGGTATTTCCAAACCAGAGCCACAGAAACAAGCACAGGAAAAAACGGTACTTACACAAAGGCTGTTGTGCCCCCTGCGCTAGTCTGAACAGGCAGAATATCTGCGTAAGTCTCATCTAGCGAGAGCAGGACGTTAGCAGCTTGCTGGCCAGACTCTGCCACAGCCAGCAGCCGGGGGAGGTCACGATACGCATCAGGGCCTGCCACAATATCGACTAGCTTCTCCCTGTGCAGAATCTCCTCCTTAAGCCTCTCAGCCATACATCCTGCCACCAAAGGAGAGGGGTCCTTGTGAGGAAGTGCCCACCCTCCGTCACACCTCCACACCCCTTCACTACCTGCTTTCACCCTGCCGAAAAGGCTCGATGCCGACAGAGGGGCAGGGGAAACGCAGCACAACGCGATGTGGCACAACAGCGTGTGCTGCCCGCGGTGCCCGTCCCACCAGGTACCTAGAATCCCGATGCGGAGAGGTAAGCCAGCCTGCTGCCGCCGGGCTTTCAGCGCCTTGAGGTGCCGCAGGCGATTCCAGATGGCCTGCTCTGCCTTCTCCCTGGGGAGCCAGGAGAACAGCGGTTATTCCAACTGCTGCACACTAACAGTCCCACGACTGGAAGCAGCCCGACTGCTCTGAGAGGAGAACTCAGCTAAACACAGGGAATCATCCACCTGAGGGGCCCGACGGCACATGAAAGTGTCATTTGTGGTGTGCAGATTATGTCTTGACTCTATCTTATCTACTATCACTTTGCTCGCTTGGCAGCACCTGCACTGCAGAAACAACTTAGGGACTAAGCTCTTGCAGAGAAAAAGCCTGCCTTAGCCAGCCATCGTCAGCTACCTCGCAAGTGACAACGAGCATTCAGTATCTTCTGCATTCAGCAAAAGCGAGCACAGTTCCCTACAGATTAATATCCCAAATTAGCCCTAAACATATTTCCCAAACTTCTGAAGTACAGACCCCATTCACAGCACAAGTAAGGTTATACATCGTGGCATCAGTTAGCCCTGCCCTCAACTAAACACCCAGCCCCACATCTGCATGCTCTTGTCCTCACACAACACATTTATTGCCTTCGTTTTCAAATGGCAATTTGTTAAAAACTGTCCAAAACCAGCAGTGACAAAAGCTTCCTTACCTCACAGAGCAGGTGACAAGGAGAATCACATCTGCCTGAAGTGGAAACAACAAAAAAGGAAGAATCAGTAAAAGCCAAACAGTAAGTACTCATGCCCTGCACAGGTGACCTGAAGAGGCAGACTATAAAACCCACTCCACTCAGTGAAAAAGATCAGCCCAAGTATGCAGAGGGTCTCAACAAAGGTGCAAGAAGCTAACAGAAGACAGAGTCTTGCACTAAGTGGTAGAAGTAAACTCAAAGATGAGTCAGGAGCATCCTGCTGTGTCCAATTCCTTTCCACCTGAGAGGGAACCCCGCAGTTTAAAGACAACCCACAGCTTTTCTAGCACACTTGTTAAGCATTTTCCTTTACTCCACTGAGTTTAAACTGCAAAATCACAACACCCCACAGGACTGCACTGCACACAAAGGCTGGGACTGGCTGCACAGTGGTGTGACGCCCGCGCAGGCCTGCACTCCAGGAGAGCTGCCAAGGCGCCTCACCTCAGCCGGCTCCTTTGTCCTCGCGTAGCCATTCTTCTGCAGCACGGCCCAGGCGATCTCCGTGTCGTTGACGTTCATCTGGCATCCGTACGTCTCCAGGTACACTGCAACAAAGGCGCTGTGATGGGGCGTGGTGGGCCGCCGCCCCCCCCCCCCCCCCCCTGCCACACCCGTCACCTTTCCTATGGGAAGGACACTTCAGTCCCACCCCTGGAGAGTCAGGCAAGCGGCACAAAAGCCCATACAGGAAGGATAAACCACAAACACAGACTATAGGAACCCGGGGCCTCAGAGCACGTCACTCTGACACAAGAGGTCTAGACTGTGGCTGGCGGAGGAGCAGCAGCTCTGTTCCTATGG